GAAAGGAGGGAGCATGTTTGGTGTGACGGGGATTCGAACCTGTGACCCTCAGACTGCGAGTCGAGCGCCCTAGTCACCTGGCCACGCCGGGCCGCCGCATAAAATCCCCAACAAATCTAAAAAAAATTAAATAATAATCCCGATAGCCATGTTTTGAAATTTTCATTCAGACACAACAGCGTGCAATTAATGTGTAACGTTTATTTATATTAACGGTGCTATATTCAGTTGACATAAAACAATCATTCCAAATATAAATCACTAGTGAAACAGGCCTAGCTATTATTACTATCTTATTACACATTGCCATTTTTTTTATGGCAACTGTATTTAAGTGCGTCGAAAACTTAATAAATATCTATTATTATCCGGTGTTTAATTAGAATCTACATTCAAATACATCTAGACATTGCCACACAAATAATTTATTGGAGAACGAAAAATGTAGACATATTCAAATAATTTTGTGCGTCTCTTAGTTTAATGACAAACACTCCGTGCAAGTATCACAAAGGTTATAAAGAACTAAAGCCCTAACACTGGTCATGTAATATACATATGCAAGGATAATACCTTAAGGTTATAAAATAACCTTTAAGCTTCATAAAATTTGTACGATAAATTCAGAAATTCATCATTCCAAAGTAAGGATTGCCCGACAAGAATTTAAATAAATAATTATAATTAAAGACAATAAATAATAAAGTTTGATTTCTGAACACATTTAAAATTTATTCTTGCAAGTTTCAGCTCGTATTCAAACCTCTCACAGGAGAGAGCTCCTTATCACGATGTGTATAAAAACGAATTTAATAGCATTATGGAGAAATCATTGTATTCATGTGGGCAAATTATTCCGTAAGGCCCGTTATAAATATTTATTTTACAAGAACGTTTGAAAAAATCATCCTCTGTAAAACGTCACGTTTGAAGACAAATTCATAAATTATTTACAGCTTTTTTTTTTCTAGCTTTATTAGCAAAAGGTGACCTCTCTCTTTTCAGCGAGAAAAGTTTTCGCCAGTAGGAAAACGTTTCGTTAAAAAAAAGAAACGAAAAAAGAAGATTCGTTGCTAGAGTTTTCTGCTGTATTTTCTATATGTATTATTAAGTCGATACTCAGTGAATTATTAATCGCGACATTAAAAATAAAATGGATTTCTTGCGTCGAAACCACTCCAAACGCGCAATCCCTCAGCGTGTACATGTTTTCTTGCGTCGAAACCACTCCAAACGTGCAATCCCTCAGCGTGTACATGAATAAGGCTATGTTGTACTCAATTAACTATTTAAAAACCGTATCCTGCTAGCTTTCGGAGGGATAAAGTCACTTCTCAGATTTCAATATTAAGAAGATTGTGGTAGTTTGTAAATACACGACGGGTAACGTAATACTCTGCCTACTAGAGGAATATATATATATATATATATATATATATATATCGTTTTCATTTTCTGAAGGGTTTAACGTGCTGTGTCGAAAACAAAGCGTCAATGATTTTCACATTTTAAATAAAATATGGTATCCCCAAACCCACTACCCTGCTTATCACCCAGAACTGCGTGCATATACAAATTGCAAGGTATGTGTTTTGTATAGATATTTTCGAGCATATAGTTGTGTTTGATAATTTCATTGCATTACTAACAAGGGCCCGGCATGGCCAGGTGGATAAGGCGCTCGACTCACAATCTGAGGGTCGCGGGTTCGAATCCCCATTCCACCAAATATGCCTGCCCTTTCAGCCGTGGGGGCGGTATAATGTGACGGTCAATCCCACTATTCGTTGGTAAAAGAGTAGCCCAAGAGTTGGCGGTGGGTGGTGATGACTAGCTGCCTTCCCTCTTACACTGCTAAATTAGGGACGGCTAGCGCAGATAGCCCTCGTGTAGCTTTGCGCGAAATTCAAAAACAAACAAGATACTAATAAGGAAATTAGTTACACACGATAGGCCTCACCATTAACTTAATTTAGTACAATATATGATATATCCCCATCACGTGTTAGAATTGGTGACTAGCTAAACATGATATTTTGATACACTCCATCATGTGTTGACACTTAGAAAGCAGGACTCACCACTAGCCACATTTGATACGATTGTCATACCGTCTTCTCTTTCCCATGACGTAACCGTAACGTGTTAATTTAGTACAATATATGATATATCCCCATCACGTGTTAGAATTGGTGACCCAACCCTTACCACTAGCTAAACATGATATTTTGATACACTCCATCATGTGTTGACACTTAGAAAGCAGGACTCACCACTAGCCACATTTGATACGATTGTCATACCGTCTTCTCTTTCCCATGACGTAACCGTGACGTGTTAATTTAGTACAATATATGATATATCCCCATCACGTGTTAGAATTGGTGACCCAACCCTTACCACTAGCTAAACATGATACACTCCATCACGTGTTGACACTTAGAAAGCAGGACTCACCACTAGCCACATTTGATACGATTGTCATACCATCTTCTCTTTCCCATGACGTAACCGTGACGTATTCCTTGACGTATTTGGGTAAATGACAGTAAAGAATTGCCGTATTTCCTCGTATAACGATCTCGTCTTTAGTCTGAACTTCATAATCTGGTTTTAAAACTGGAAAGATAGAAAGGATTGATCAGTAATTTTTAAAGAATCAAACGTTTTTATTTGGATAATTCCAGACTAGGAATAGAACACATTTAAGTTATATAAAAAACAAAATGTATGATACTTAACACTAATGGACACACAGTGAATTCACACAAATTTTCACCATTGATAATGATGTGTTTTATGTGTTTGTTGTGTTTTTGGAATTTCGCGCAAAACTACACGAGGGCTATCTGCGCTAGCCGTCCCTAATTTAGCAGTGTAAGACTAGAGGGAAGGCAGCTAGTCATCACCACCCACCGCCAACTCTTGGGCTACTCTTTTGCCAACGAATAGTGGGATTGACCGTCACATTATACCGCCCCCACGGCTGAAAGGGCAGGCATATTTGGTGGGATGCGGATTCGAACCCGCGACCCTCAGATTGTGAGTCGAGCGCCTTATCAACCTGGCCATGCCGGGCCGATGTGTTTTATACGATATATCCCATCATATTTCACGTGTTGTTACAGAAACATTCCTAATATATGTAAAGTCAAACTACAACTCAGCTCATTACGTGCTTTTTTTTACCACATGATAACATTCAAAACAAAATGTTCCTAGTTTAAAAACGTTTGAGTTTACTAATTGTGGGAAGCGGTAGAGATTTCCTTTAAGTAAAATATATATACACATGTTAGGGTTTTAGATATCCGGATAATTATTTTTCATTAACGTAACTTTCAGATTCTACTAAAACCTTTGAGTGGAGTAGCCCTTTTCTAATTAAGATGCGAGAACAAATATCGACAAATAATTCAGCGTTTCTCAAAGTGGGGACCGCGAAGGTACACCAGGGGGGGGCCACGAATCACGTCCGAAGTTTCACAAAAATATTTTAAAAAATGCGATTTATAGATTGAAAAAATATTTTTCGCAAAAATTAAATTTCCACGAATTAAAACTTTTAATTTTGGAATACAGCTTTTTATGTACACGGAATATTTTTTTACAAAACAAAAAAAATATCGATAGGTTTGGAGGTGCACGAAAAACGTTTTAAATTAAAAGGGGGACCCTTTGGTACTTAAATTTGAGAACAGCTGATACAGACGACAGACAGATGTTTATACTTTCACAGAATTCAAGAAAAAACTAATATATAGTTTAGAAAAAAAAAGTACCAGTTAAATTTATATCAAAACTATAATACATTGGTACGTTATATCGTGAGATAACCAATTTTGTTATATATTTTGTGTATAAATATAACTTTCTGAAATAATGATGAATTTTTATTTTGGTATCTTTTTTAAAGGCATATCTTCAAATGAACACGTCTTCTACATATGATGTCATCGTGTACGCACGCGACTTCATCACTTAGAGCATGTCTTTATATAACCTTTGATCTTTCTGTAGACCAATATTTTGGTTGTCTAAGATAAAAATGTGAAATAGATGCAGTGTGTTTGTATCACACTTTGTCTTTGATAATGTACCATAGGTTATTTGAAAATGTAACATAGACCCTATTTGATAATGTAACATACACTATTTGAAAATGTAACATAAACTCTATTTGATAATGTAACATAAACTCTATTTGATAATGTAACATACACTATTTGAAAATGTAACATAAACTCTATTTGATAATGTAACATAAACTCTATTTGATAATGTAACATACACTATTTGAAAATGTAACATAAACTCTATTTGATAATGTAACATACATTATTTGAAAATGTAACATAGACTCTATTTGATAATGTAACATACACTATTTGATAATGTAACATACACTATTTGATAATGTAACATACATTATTTGAAAATGTAACATAGACTCTATTTGATAATGTAACATACACTATTTGATAATGTAACATACATTATTTGAAAATGTAACATAGACTCTATTTGATAATGTAACATACACTATTTGAAAATGCAACATAGACTCTATTTGATAATGTAACATACACTATTTGAAAATGCAACATAGAC